CAAATTATTGCATCATATGCATACAGGTGTATCTTCTCCCTTTTTTCTTCTTTCTAATGTCTATGCCGATGACTTGAACGATACATTCAATGATTACTAACATAAAGAAAGAGAAGGAGAGACAGAGCAAATGAAGGCGTGTATGCTACGAGATATTATCATTATTGTCTTGTATTCCCCTTTTTTTGCGCATTTATACACCATCAAGCAGAACGAAAAAAAAACTAATGAATAGTATATTGAATTTTGATATGTATATGTGATATGGCTGTCTATATGATTGAATAATAATAATAGGAAAAAAAGACCGAAAAAAAAAGATGAGTGAATGACAGAAGTATCATACCTCATTGATATGTTTGTAGGTTTTAATAAGATCCACACTTAGTTTGCGAAGTGGAGCTTCGGCTGGATCACGATAAGCATTCATTGCTGGCATCATCATGTCTTTAATTAGTTTTCCTATAATAATTACGATTTAAATATTGATAATATTTGATAATTATATGACAATTTCATTATGATATGAGAGTACATATCACACCTAAAAGCAAATAAACGACAGATGATTTAGTTGACAGAAATATCACGTGTGTTAGCGTGTATATACATGGAAAATACGATGTTGTTGTATTTTTTTTCTTGCTTTTTACCAAGAAGCAAGTACAGTGAAAAACAAGTGATGATAATGAAGAAAAATTGATTGACGAATGTGGAGATAACAGTAAATATTGTCAAAATATGATGATGTAAATAACAAGTCCAATTGATACAATCTGAAACATGATCAATATGTGTAATTGATGTTTATGATCATTCGAGTTTGAGTCATTCATTGACGTACACGATTGATTCACGAGATCTTAGGACCGAAAGAAGAGAGAGGGAGGGAAAAAAGTCATGAAAGGAAGGAAAGAAAGTGGTAATGGGAATAAACAAAGAACTTCATTTTGACTGGATCATATTTTCTCCTTATGATCGCCATTTAACTGTACTATTTGAGAACCTCAATGATGTTGTAAACAAATGTCCGGAAAAATATATGACCATACAAATCAATTAGCTGCTTGATAAATTCATTTTTAAAAGAAACTTGCTTGTTTTTTATGGAAAGATAAATTTGATCTAAATTTTATAATATTTATATCATATTGTACTACAGCGACATCTTTTGACATCACGAGTCAAAGCAGAAAAATAGGAATATCATCACTATTCTTGAAGCATTTGTCGTTGCTTGTATTTATAGTGTTATGATGAGTTTGTTTGTTTTTTTTTCAATTGAAATATCTTCACATCGATGGACATAGAACCGCATACAAAAAAACGATTCACACGCGGAAGAATGTAGTTATTTTCCTGATGTTTTAGCGATACGAACAATCAATGGAAGAAGAGATTACAAAAGACACGAATTAAAATTGATACAATTTGATGTAAACTAATCTACAGACGCGGAAGAACGAAGAATATCAAATTGCTATGCTTTGTTTTCTTTGACAGTTGTTAGAGCAGACGGTACTATTAATGAATTCATGATATCGATCTTTTTTATCTGACTAGCATTGGAAATCTATTAGAAATATAAGAAAACGAGATTTTATGATCATTAGCTAAAATGTTTGACTTACCTGAGATGTTTTGCCATTTCGAAAGATATCAGCGTACAGATTGTTTTGTTCGTTGCAAAGTTTCTTCCGTTGTTCTTCAATAACCGGATTGATTAAGCTAATGGATGAAGAATACGCGTTCGTTGTCGTCGGTTCGGTTAGTGTTTTCTTTCGTTTGGCAACGATAGGAAATGTTCTAACACATAAAATATCAGTCAGATTTCCGTCCTTTTTATCGAGTTTTTCTGTATAATTTGTAAAACGTCCGTTGGGCCATGGCTTGGTTGAATGTTTAAAGCGATATTTATACAATTGTGATGATAATGGATTGGTAGAATGATCCATAAAACTTTCGGCTAAATCATAATGAATTGTTCGTTTACGTAAGAATGCCAATGGATTCCAGGGACGATTGCCCACGTTTCTACCACCACCACCGCGCCGCGCATGATGTGCTACTGGTCTACGGAGCTAAATTAGAGAAATTTTTATGTAAAGAACATCTACTATGAATGCCTACTGTTTTGAAAAGATTGTCACATTCCTCGTGTACAGTTGCGAGGTCAAGCGATGGACAGTGACGTTTATCTGATGAATTAACCGGACGTTGCAAGCGTTTTAAATGACTGGACTGATAATTCATCGAAGAAAAAAACTTGGGTATGACTCAAACGTTTTTGGCGCACTAATTAATCGCATTAAGTTATTTGATCCGTTGAAAATACCCGAAAAAAGTCATTTGTCCATTCGTATGAGTAGATGAACGAACCAATGCAGGTCAGAAACTCATCTCTCATAAGCGAGAGACATCTGCTGAAAGCGCATCGAAGCATGTCAATAGTTTGTTTTACATCAACAAGTTCCTTTATTTTTCGTCTATTTCCTGATCAATATATAGACAAGAAAAAAGTTATTTTCTTTTCAATGTTTTTGACTTTCTCCATTTCAATTAGTAAGTATAATTCTCCTTGAATAAATATATATATATGTATATATTACCAATAATTATTTTTGTACTTCTAGCTAAGTCAAGGTTCTGAGCATCGTTCTAATGGGTTCGCTATTCAGTTCATCACACAATCGAGGAATTGCACCAAACAATAATCCATTGATAAATCAAGCTTATAACGTGGAATTTGGTTATGCACCTGTCGGTCCGGTAGGACCAGTCCCGTCTGTTCCGAAACGGAATATGTTTGGTCAGGCGCCAACTCATCATCATCGTCGGCGACGACGACATTGACATCTGTGATAAAATGAGAAAGAAACGATATTTCGAAACAAATGTAATGCATATATATTTTTTATCTGTGATAATCAAGACGAATAAACTTCCTTATTTTAATTAAATTACTGAAGAAAATCCACCGTGAAAAGGCCTTACGTCTTTAATCGATAGATATAATTCAGGGTTGTCTCGAAATGTTATCGATTCGATCAATTGATTTAGTCAATGGTTTTTCGCGTACGCACGAACAAATGTCCTTTCTAATCGAACGTGCATCTCGTTCTTCTGTCCAGTGATGAGTGAAAAAGATCGGTGGTTGTTTTAAATAGACCAATGAAATATTTAGATAATATGCTATACAAACAGGCAAAAACATACCTATTGTTATCTGTTGTTTAAACATACATGAACACTGAAGACGCAATGAACAACAAAGAAAAACTAACAACGAAATACAAGAGAGAATTTATGCAAGAAATTTGATCTAGCACCAGAGGAGAGTAGAGTAAACGAAGTTGGTGACACAAAAGAAAAACAACATACAAGAAAAAATGACAAAAAAGATGTGAGATCGACAGATATACGCACACACACACACACACACATATATATATATATATATATATATATATATGAGTATTGAGAAAAACAATGGAGATGGCTCATTTGCTGATCTATCCTTATATCAGTTCCTCCTCTTTTTCACGAACGTATAAATGCAATAAATAAAATTGGAAGAAAAACAAACGTTGATTATCATTCATTATCTATCAGAAGAAAGCAAATAATCTTGCTAATTATTTACAGATGAAGAGGAAGACTCAGGTGACAGCTCAGTTTTTATAGATTCGATCAATGAATTTAATGCATCACGTGTAGTATAATGCAGGATGTTCTTAGCCTAGAAAATCAAATATTTCAATGAAAACAATGAAGAGCCTAAAGAGAGAAAAAACACTTACTTGTAATATATCAGCATGGTTAGTGTGCGTTTCAGACAAATTTCGAAATTCGTTCGTTGTAATTAAGCAGCGATCGAGGTTTTCGGGTGATACGAAATCCTCGGCTATTTTGATACATGAATGTAGGTTTTTCACCTAGAAATTCAGATTAGATCGCAAATCGATATCTAGAATAACCATCCTTACTTGATGAGGTGCTCCACTTGGAATAAAAACAGCATCGCCTAAAAACTGAAGGACTGGATAGGATTCGACTTTACTCCATTCTCGTAATTTTTCTAAATCTTCTTTTTCGAGATAAGCTGTTTGATCGTGTATAGTATCAGAACCAGGTGCTTTCCGATGCGCCTACGAAAGAAAAAGAAGGATTGATATTTACTTACAAGATTAAGCAATCACATACTCGTCCAATGTATTCACGAATCTTTTTCGCATCATCAGAACGAAATAAATGCCAGAGTGCACCTGGTCGTTCCCCATTTCTTAATCGTTGTAATTGGGCTTCATCAATGTTTGAATCCAATATCTCGGCTTCAACTTCTACAAGAAGACAAACCCATGTCTATTCTACATAATTTTCCTCCTGATCAACTTACGTCGAATTTCTTCTTCTTTATCGGCTCCATCATCACCTTGACCACCTATGCCAACGTAGACGAGTACATTGACAGCATCTGACACATCGATATGAAGGTTTGTTGTTCCGGCTTTCTTTGTGGCTTGACTTGTAAGCTGACCTAGAAAGAAATTCGAGCATTTTGCCTTATTGCTGCGAGAACATTTCAGAAACATACTGTAAGCAATATACAATTTTGGTCCGAGATCGGGTTTAACCAAACATGATGGTAATCGTTCGACTATATTCAATGCTCCACCATGATATGTAACACCGTTATATACATATGATCGTTTCGTATATTCGCCTAAAGTTATTTGTAGAAATTTTCCGGAAGGATCGAGGTGTGAACTTACTAAATGGAATATTGTTCATTAGATCATGAAGAAGTACAGGAAAAACAGAAGCGAAATCTTTTTTCGTCGGCCAATCTTTTAATTTCAAGATTCTTGGCCGATCGTTATGTTGTTCATCTCGTAATCGAACTAAAATATTCATTGATGAAATAGAATTTCTCTTTACCAAATGACCACTTACTATTCAAACGTTCAAATCCATCCCAGAAGTTAGTCAAAATGGTCTCATTAGTTAAGATCGGTATTAATGTTTCGCAATCCCATAAGGCTGGCGTTTCACGATGATCGATCATATGTTCTTTAAATGCATCGGGCTGCCATAGCGTTTTCGACAAATTCTTGTGCACTTGTTTCACAAGTACAGGACAACTCGTCGACCAAACTTTTCGAAAAAACTTTCAAAAGAACAACAACATGCGTTAAGATCAAGATATTTATCGTATTCTACATACTTGTTTTGCATTCTCACTAATCCATTCATTAAAGACCGGCAAGCGACCATTACAATAAAACTCGATATTTGAATCATTGTTACAATCACTCGACAGCCACTTCTTTTGTACATCGCGAGCATCATGTGATCGTTTCATTTTCAAACTCTTCAGAAATGCCGAAAGGTGTTCGCTCTTAGCTGCATTGTATAATTTTAGTGTATAATCAAGTTTTAATCGACTTAAATAGTCAACAACACCATTACGTAACTTGAGCATGACTAAACGAGAAAATCCAGATTCCATTCACATGCATTCGCGAAGTTCCTTACCTGACCATGGAATAAATTCTGACAGGGAAAATGAATCATCATGAGTGCAAGCACGTTTTAATTCTAAACAAACACATCAGTCAATGCAAAGAAACGTCTAGGTCATATTTGTCGTACTTTTTCGTTTTTCAATTGTTAATTGAGACAACTGGCTATAGCATTCAATACATGTCATATATCCACATTGTTTACACATGTAGTGATGATTAAACAGTGTTGTATAACATTCATCACACACTTCTCTCCAGCCTGCCATGTACTTTTTCCAGATAATGTTTTCTATTCAAACAAAACAGTTATTTCGAGAGAATCCAAAATACAACATTTTCAAATTACTTTCATTGTGTGCCGTTCGTTGGTTTTGTTCGTGATGAAACATTAAACAGAATACCTTTGCTATACGCGTGAAGATATAATTAGCATTGGGGAGATTCAGAGCTGGTTGGCCACCTGTAATGAGAGAGCACTTTAAAAACTTGATTTCGAAATGAGATCTTTCTCATACTAGTATTCGGTGTGCATAGAGATTCAATATCTTGTGGTGTAGCATTCGCTGCTGTTGTAAATCCTTCGAACTCATAAGTGTTATCGCCAGAATATTTTAATCTAGATCGAAAGAATGTCAATCTTTAAACGCAAAAGATTTTCGAATGTTTACGTTCGACAATTCTGGAATCGACAGCCAGCTAGATGTGACGATAAATCGTCGGGGTTAGCTGTTTGACAATCAACACATCGAGGAATCGTCTGTGGATATGAGATGCAGTAATTTTCCTGAACCTTGGTTACTACGAACGAAAATATTGGTGAAATCGAGATAGGATGGACATTGTCTTTACTTGGTATTGACTTATTCTGTCGACGTTTGACTAAAGCTTGTTCAGATATTGCGGATGTATCTAAAGATCGTTTTTGATTGTTCGTTGGAGATGTATCAGTATGAACGTTGTTATCAGTTGACATTCCATTCGTATCTAATGAAAGTAATGCCGTCGGTTTTGTCGCCGAATCATATTGACAAATAGCATTGTTAGTTTTATTTTTGCATTTGATTTTATCAGGAAAACGTCGAGCGAAGACCGGCGAACGGCGTGACTGTTGCGACGATTTAGAATTCCTTGACAAAAGAGAAATCATAAAAAGTGAGAGATGATCTGAGGCATACTTTTTGAAAGTATCCATGGATGGAAATACTGGTTTGACTTGCCTTTCGTCTGCGTAGTGTGGTGAATATCTTGGTTGATATTGCGGACTTTTGCTGTTCTCGGTATGGTTCATAGGCTCAGAAATACTTTGTACAACAGATGTTTCGTTGGTCTTGGCTGGAGACGTTAAGAGACGATGAAGAATCGGTGATGTATAAGTATGATTCGTTAGAATCATTGGCATAGGTTTATTATCGATTGCTGTAATCAAAGTATCAGTTGAAATCGGTTCGGTTTTAACGACAGTGTCTAGCACAAAGAAGAAGAAAAAAAGATTAAGTTTTCGCTTCAGTTGTCATTCTTACTGAATGATTCGCCATTGAAATGATTTTCTGTACTTTCACGTTTTCCATTTGTGAACGCCGATGGTGAATCTTTTATACAATTTGCATCGAGTGATAAGTTGTCTTGAAAAACGTTTTTGACTCTTGGACTGGAGCAAGGTGTCGTTGCACAAGAAGAGACATTTGGAGTACAATCACCTGCAGAGCTGATCGGTGATGGTGTAGATTCTTGAAGAGTTGTCGATTTGGTACTTGAACCACTTGTTTCAGGTGAATAATCCGTTTGAGTCATTGACGGTATACAAAAATAAAGATTTTGTGAAGTTAGAAATGGTTTATAAATTAAATTGTTCGATGTGGAACTATTTTCAAAAAGTTCGTGTAAGCGAAACGCACGCTGGTCAATTAAACTTGGATTATGTTGTAACAAAGCAGAAGTACCCGGTGATGGAGGTTTCATTGGCTCATTTTTTAATTCGAGGAACGGTCCACTTGGACCTGGATGTAAATATGTATATCTTGCTAACTTCTGAGATCCCATATATTGATCCATCTAGGCATTAGAACAAAAATTTTCAAATAACTTAATTTATTCACTTCTCATACTTGCTATGGATATTTATTGCATTTTAATTAATTTTACATAAAGTTACCGTTAATTACTAATGATGTTATGGACACAGGAGAAAGAGGGCTCCCTCTAGATTTTTTCTTTTCTTACAAAATCAATCAATCGATACTTTCACATGAGTTCTACCACCAATCATTAAAGTTGTCATTCCAGCGCCATCTATTTTTATGAGGGTTCAATGAGAAATTCGGATAGGACAGAGCATTCCACAAGTTATATAAACTTGCTTGATTTCGATCAGAATATGATTTTTGATCATCAGTATTTTGAATCTGAGATAAGAAACGATAGTCTATCAGATGATATTTGGTATGTATATTGTAAGGGAGTTCAGTTTTGAAGATAGATCGTTACTCTTTTCTTTAGGTATCACTTACCTCCTTTCGATACTCTTAATTCGTTCTTCCACAGCAACTGCACAAGTACAAAAACATGATCCCGACTGTGACTATAATATTACTCAAGTCATTCAAACTAAAGGCTATCCGTGTGAAGAACATAAAGTGATCACGGACGATGGTTATATCTTAGGTATCTTTCGTATTCCACATGGTCGCAATAGTTCCTCCATAGGTCGACCTGTTCTTTTACAGCATGGTCTTCTCGATGCTGCTGTAACATGGGTGATGAACTTTCCTGATCAAAGTCTTGCTTTTATTCTCGCCGACGCTGGCTACGATGTTTGGCTTGGTAATATGCGTGGTAACTACTATTCTCGAGCTCATACGAAATACAATCCTGATCATGATAAACAATTTTGGGATTTCAGTTGGGACGATATGGCAAGAGATGATCTTCCGTCAATGCTCAACTATATTCTAAATAGAACTCAGCAGACAGAGATTAGTTATGTTGGTCATTCACAGGGAACGATGATTGCTTTTGCTGAATTCGGCAACGAAAAGAGCACTGTGCGAGATAATGTAAAGTTTTTCGCAGCTTTGGCTCCCGTCGCTCATTTAGGCCACATCAAATCACCAATTCGATTTCTATCATCAGCATCAAAAGAATTAGAACGTTATTGGCATTTATTATTTGGACGAAATGAATTTCTTCCATCAAGTTATATCACGAAATGGCTTGGAACATTCGCTTGTGGTGAAGTTATTCTTGATGAAGTATTATGTCAGAACATATTATTTATATTATGTGGGCCTGAAAAGAAAAATATGAATAATACCCGACTACCAGTCTATCTGTCGCACGAACCCGATGGCACATCAGTGAAAAACATGATTCACTTTGCGCAAGGCGTACAAAGTAATATCTTTAGAGCATACGATTATGGTTCACCACAAAAAAACGTACTACATTACAATCAAACCACACCACCGGAATACAATCTCTCTGGATCTCACATTCCAACAGCAATCTTCTGGTCGGGCAAGGATTGGCTGGCTGATCCTACTGATGTTAACTACATTCTGAATAATCTACAGAATCTAGTCTACGATAAATATATTCCAGAATACAATCATCTGGATTTCGTTTGGGCTTTGTCTGCCAACAAAGTTGTTTATAGTGACTTGTTAAATGTGATGATAAAATATCATCCGCCCTATTGAATTGTATCTTTTTTGTTTTATTTTTTGGATATTTTGTAAAAAAGGATCTGATCTTTTTTTTTCAATCAAGCAGTATCTCAATAAAAATTGTTTTCAAGTTGCTACAAATTTTCAATTTAAATTTTGAGATAATAAAATTTAATGGATAGTCGCAGTAGAAACGAGCTCGTTTTTATTTTTAAAAATCATGCAAATACTTCGATGATAATTCGAAAGAATCGCTCCTACGGAAAAAAAGCCGAGCGGATATTGAAACAAGGCACTACTTGTTTAATGAGTATTAGGCATGGCATTTCAATGCAACTATCTTTAATTGAAACGAAAAACACTCTAGATGAGTACGCATTTGATTTGGTCATTTCTATTGAATTGACAGATTATTCGACTCGATAGATAACATGACTATACGACACACTCCGTTTTATATTTTCTCTAATAAAGCCCCTAGAACATATCGAGGGTGAACACACATTTGAATGGTTAGAAATTTCAAACGCGAACGCTCTTCTTCGAAATGTCGTTAAATATGTGTTTTCGGATATGTATCATACCATTCGATAAGAAGCACAGACGACAACTGTTTCTTCGTAATCGAGATAATAATGTCTATGATTCCCGACTTATACGAAAGCATCAGTCAATTCGAAGCTGCTGGCGGCCATGTCCGACGTCGTATTGTAAGAGATAAATTTGTTTATTGAGAATGGCCGTGTCTGATCCGTCGAGTCATCATAAGGATGCTATATAAAGGAGCAGGTTGCTATATACACTCATTGAAATTAACGTGATACTGCAAAGAATGGCTATTGATCCATACATTGAAGTCGTACGTTGTTTCTCTTTTGAGCTAGAATTAGAGTGCAGCCCGTCACTCCCAGGTCAACAAATCCGATCGGATTCCTGGAAACGGAATTGCATTGGAATCCGACTGAAAAAATTCCGTTGGTTATTGCAAATTTCATCAGCGATCTTCCTAGTTATACTCTATGATGACCCTTAGAAAATCTGCAAAATTCATGTTTCGGATCCGATGAGATCTGACACGGGACCCGAAAGGATCCGAGTACGGGATCGATTGGCCTGGGCTGCTATGTCAAAGCGAGCATACGTGGAGCAATAACTGAAGATTATTTCTCCTGATCAGATGAAAAGAGATTATGTTCAGATTGTTGATAAAGGAATATCATACAGCATTATAGGGTTTGAAACTCCATGCGGTCTTTCAGATTCAATAAAAGTCTCTTTCTATTTTTCAGGTGCTACATGTTAAAGATCAATATAACGATCAGAAAAAGCGTAGCGACGATTGCCGACTGCTTTTAACATTATTGTGCCGATACGCCTTCATCGGAATGATCGTTCTTACTCCACAATTTTTCAACAGCTGCTTTTAAACTAGGCGAAATCGTGAACGAACTAAAAAATTAGAATGTAAACTCTTTTTTTCTTTCTTTGAAGAAATGTTTTATAACCTTCTTCATAGCCACTCATATCAAGAATGGTGGTCAATTACCCTATAAAAATCGAGCCTGGTTTTTTTATATTTCAAGTTGAGTTTTAAAAAAGAAATTAGCTTCCTCTTATTCAGACAGAAATGGGGTTATACGGGTATAGGAAAAAGATGCCTTCCATTAAGACGAGGACAACTTGTTAACACTTATCTAAGTCAACAGACCTAGCAAATATGAGGTACTTTAACGCTTGATATGCTATGATTTCTCAACGTTAAGTATCAAAAATACTAAGCAAGCATGCACAAATAGACGAGAACAAAAAGAGATAAGATATAATATCACCCATGAGTTAGAGTCAGACTACAAATAGAGGGTATAGGGAGTATTCAAATGCTTTTTCAATCAAACTAGATCCGTACCGACACCCACCTCGCACCCTCATCGATATAGATTCCTACTGGTGATCACGCTCAAAACGATAAATATTAGAATTTTAAAGACCTTACTACCAACTTAAATACTTCAAAGCCTCAATACCCCCCCCCCCCCTTATTTCCTATATGATCTTACTTCTTATACCTCCTGTACCCCTCATTTCTGTTTGAATTAAAGCCCTTTTTTGTTCCAAAATTCAATTTGAAATATAACAGGCTATTGTATGCGGAAATCTGACAATCGATGACAAACAATCGTTTATTTTCACGGACACTGTTCACTATTACACATTGAGTCAGGAAAAAAATGTAAAATAGACAATGGATAACGTATACTTTATTTCATTGTATCTTTTCTCTATTCAAAATACTTTTCAATTCCAACAAAAGAGTGAAACAAAACTGAAAGAGTTGAAGTTCCATTTGTATTACTATTTTCATTTTCGAGAACTTGTCTCAGTCTTAAAACAAGAAGGTGTGAGGATGGGTAATCCAGCTAAGAGTCTCGTTCGATTTAAAAGTGGTTTACGTACTTTCGAGTAGTTATCATATTTATCTTGTCGATCACACCATACGACGCTAAGATAAAATACGCATGTGTATATATAATACGGTGACTAACGTCTCTGTTTTTATAACAACATTGACGAAGAAAAAATGCCGTTTCATAAGTGCTGGAAACATGTTCGCGGGGTAGATATCCTCAGTATTTTTCTTATCTTAGCATTTTCGACTGTGGCATCGTCATCGTCGACAAAACAACATGATCCAGATTGTGATTTGAATATTACTCAACTCATTCAAAGTAAAGGTTACCCGTGCGAAGAACATAAAGTGATCACAAAGGATGGTTACATCCTTGGCGTGTTTCGTCTTCCGCATGGCCGCAACAGTTCCTTCATAGGTCGACCTGTTTTTTTACAGCACGGTCTTCTCGATGCTGCTGTAACATGGGTGATGAACTTTCCTGATCAAAGCCTTGCGTTTATGCTTGCCGATGCTGGCTACGATGTTTGGTTGGGTAATGTTCGTGGTAATTACTACTCACGTGCGCATGTCAAATACAATCCTGATCACGACGAAGAATTCTGGGATTTCAGTTGGGGCGATATGGCAAGAGATGATCTTCCGTCGATGATCAATTATATTCTTAAAGCGACTCAACAGACCACGATTGGCTATGTTGGTCACTCGCAAGGCACTCTAATAGCTTTCGCACAGTTCGGAGATATCAACAGCAACCTTCAGCAAAACGTTAGTTTCTTTGCTGGTCTAGCTCCTGTAGCACATGTAGGACATATAAAATCTCCATTGAAATACTTAGCAGAGCTTTCGAAAGATCCCGAGCGTATGCTTCATTTGTTATTCGGCTATAAAGAATTTCTTCCCTCGTCAAATATCATCAAATGGTTAGCAACGCATGCCTGTGGAAGTGTGATATTTGATCCATTAGTTTGCGAAAATATTCTATTTATTATCTGTGGACCAGATAAGAAAAATATGAACAACACTCGAATGGAAGTGTACATATCTCATGAGCCAGATGGTACATCAGTAAAGAATATCATTCATTTTGTACAAATGAGCAATTCTAATCTATTTCAAGCGTACGATTATGGATCAGCTGACAAAAATCGTCAGCATTATAATCAAACAACTCCACCCATATATACGATTCGTCCAATGAAAATTCCCACGGCAATATTTTGGTCACCTGATGACTGGCTAGCGGATCCTGTGGATATGGGTTTTATTTTTGACAATGTTCAAAACTTAGTCTATGAAAAATATCTTCCCGGTTACAATCATTTAGATTTCGTCTGGGCAATGACAGCAAACAAAATGATTTATGTGGACTTGATCGAGCGAATGCAAAAATATCATCCAGCAAGATGATCATGTTCATTTCATGCCTTTTGATTAATAAAAGATAAAATCACAAAAAACTATGTCAAATGAAAAGAATGAAAATAGAACAATTCGTTCAAAAAGTTCTTCATCTGCCATATAGAGTAAAAAAACATTGATAAGGAAAGTATATACTTTATCTTTGTTGTTAGCTTTCCCTTTTATCTATAAATCAACTAAAAATAAGAATTAAAACTCAGTCGGTGTTTGTCGGGCCTGGTGATAATCATGTTGAATAGATGTATTCTAACATTACTCATTGTATGCTCATTAGGTCATGCTAAACCTCTATCGGGAGTTCAGCAGTCTGATCCAGACTGTGACTACAATATAACTCAAATGATTCAAAGTAAAGGCTATCCGTGTGAAGAACATAAAGTGATCACAAAGGATGGTTACATTCTGGGTATTTTTCGCATTCCACATGGTAGAAAATCGACAACGTCTGGTCGGCCAGTTCTTTTACAACATGGTCTTCTTGATGCAGCAACAACATGGGTGATGAACTTTCCCGATCAAAGTCTTGGATATATTCTTGCCGACGCTGGCTACGATGTTTGGCTTGGTAATATGCGTGGTAACTACTATTCTCGAGCTCATACGAAATACAATCCTGATCACGATGAAGAATTCTGGGATTTTAGTTGGGATGAGATGGCAGGAATTGACCTTCCGTCCATGATCTATTACATTCTCAATGTCACTAAACACACGCAAATCGGCTATGTTGGTCATTCGCAAGGGACGATGATTGCTTTTGCTGAGTTCGGCAATCCAAATAGTGTTGTGCAGAATAACGTCAGTTTCTGGGGAGCATTGGCTCCTGTCGCACACGTTGGTCATATCGAATCACCGATTCGATATTTATCATCAGCAACGATAATGAAAGATATTGAACTTTATTGGCATTTATTATTTGGTCGAAACGAATTTCTTCCATCGAGTTATATAATAAAATGGCTCGGAAAATTTGCCTGCGACAGATTTATCATCGATCGCGTGGTATGTGACAATATTTTCTTTGCTCTGTTTGGGCCCGAAAAGAAAAATTTGAATGAAACACGTATGCCTGTTTATGTATCACATGTGCCTGATGGTACATCTGTGAAAAACATGATTCACTTTGCACAAGGTGTACAAAGTAATACATTTCAAGCATATGATTACGGCTCCCCTGATAAAAATCGACAACACTATAATCAAACTATACCACCAGCATATTCGATTCGTTCAATGAAAGTTCCAACAGCTATATTTTCCGGTGGCGAAGATTGGTTGGCTGATCCAACCGATGTCAATTATATTCTTGACAATGTTCAAAACATCGTCTATAAAAAGTACATTCCAAATTACAACCACATCGATTTTGTATGGGCTCTGACAGCAAATAAACTTGTCTATGCTGATTTACTTAACGCCATGCAAAAATACCATCCACCTAATTAACTGTATAGTGTTTTTTTGTATCAAACAACATTTATTAATAAATTATTGTCACATTTTTCTGTCTAAGATTATATACCGGTAGCAATATTTTTTTAATACTCTCATCCGCACCCTCAGGAAAATGATCTGAGCTAGGTCTAGAAAAAGAAAAACACACAGTTTCTTTATCTTTTGCAGTAGATACAGAACTTCAATTGTAAATAAAGATATCAAATATGCTTATCGGTTTTTATCATCGGGGTCTATTTCAGTAGACTTAGCTGCGCGACATGGGTTTACGTATGTATTACTTTTGTTTTAAAATTTTGTTCAAAACTAATTGATGATATAAGTATTTTTCATGTGGTGATTCTCTCCTTATACTTTACTGCAAATGCAGCTACACCGCAGGCGTACAAGGCTGATCCAGATTGTGATTACAACATTACGCAACTAATTCAAAGCAAAGGATATGCTTGCGAAGAACACAAAGTCATTACAAAGGATGGCTATATTCTGGGTATTTTTCGTATCCCACACGGTCGAAATAGTTCATCTACAGGTCGACCAATTCTTTTACAGCACGGTCTTCTCGACGCTGCTACAACATGGGTTCTGAATTTTCCTGATCAAAGCCTTGCATTTATTCTTGCCGATCTGGGCTATGACGTTTGGCTCGGTAACATACGTGGAAATCGTTATTCTCGTGCACATGTCAAATACGATCCGAATCATGATGAAGCTTTTTGGGATTTCAGCTGGGATGACATGGCGAGAGACGACCTGCCATCCATGATTTATTATATTCTCAATGTCACCAAACATACACAAACTGCCTATGTGGGCCATTCGCAAGGCACACTGATAGCCTTTGCTGAATTCGGAAATCCAAACAATAATCTTCAGCAAAATATTAGCTTCTATGCATCTTTAGCACCTATCGCTCAAATTGGTCATCAGAAGACGCCATTAAAGTATCTAGATACTGATAGTAAAGAACTCGAACGTTATTGGCATAGATTATTTGGTCGTAATGAATTCCTTCCTGCATCTAATATTCTGAAGTGGCTTGGAAAGTATGCGTGTAGTGGATTCTTTATCGATCGACTAATTTGTGAAAATATGCTATTTATCGTTGGTGGACCTGATCGAAAGAATTTGAATGCTTCACGTATTCCTGTCTATACGTCCCACGGACCCTCAGGTACATCGGTGAAAAATATGATTCATTTCATGCAGTGCGGTCGATCAAATATGTTTCAAGCATATAAATATCATACTCCTGAAGAAAATCAATTACATTATAATCAATCGGTTGCACCACTATATTCCATACGTTCAATGAAAGTACCGACTGCAGTTATTTGGGCTGGCGAAGACTGGCTTGCTGACCCAACCGATGTTACTTACATATTTGATAATATTCAAAGTTTAGTTTACGAAAAATATATTCCAGATTATAATCACTTCGATTTTGTTTGGGCAGTCAATGCCAATAAAGTTATCTACGAAGATTTGATCGGTGTCATGCAAAAATACCATCCAATCAAATAATCGACTTTCTCTCCCAGTAAACTTTTGCGTACCATAAAATACATTTGTGTTGTTTATTTATTACACAATTTTATGATACGTACGAGTTATACAGTATTATCAACTAAAATAAAACACATGTAAACATCGAGTTCTTATTTCAAATCGATCGTATCTCCGTCTTGCTCCCTAACTGAGTCATTTTGAGATTGTGTAAACTTTTCATCCTCTTCTTTTTCAATCATTCGTAGAGCGTGTTTTAGTACGTAACCGACAATTTCTGCTGAGAGATCTTGGTAAACGAGGTCTTCGCTCTCACTGAGCGAGATACGACGAGGTTTGAACATTTGACGAAATTGTTGATCAAAGTCCGTCTCACGGTAACTTTTATATGTCTGATTCGCTGGTTCACCCGTGCTTCCTTCGTCTTCCTTCACAAATTGATTATAGCCAGCAAATGATACACTTTTGTGATGAGATAATGACGACTTATCCGGTAATGAATGTTGAGCATTATTTAACGTCACATCAGTCGGATGATCATCGGAAATCTTGCGTTCGACTGGTATTGAAACGGTGCTTTTGATTTTATCAAGAATGGTTCTAACTGGATTACTTGTTTCAAAATCAATAATCTCGAGTGGTGATGATGATAATAATGTTTCTTGACGTGTTACAAACGTAGTATCTTCGGAGGATGAACATGAATCATGGTCGGACGGCGTACGCGTTTTCGATGATGATCGTTCAAGATCACGTTTCAATGCAATCAATGGACGAGCTAAGTAATAAAATCTAATCGTTTCCATGAGAGAACTGATAGTATCAGCTTACCGATGCGCTGTTCAAATGCACCTTGAACACCATTGCTGAACGTTTTCAATTGTCCAAAAATACTCATTTTGAAACTGTCAACAGGCGAAGCCATCGAGCTCGATTTCGTAGAAATTCAACAAACTAGAGTGAACGTCAGGCAAGAAAGGAGAGGAGGAGATGTCGAGAAACGGGTTGTAAGAGAAAGAAGGAAATTCATGCCACAATGATTTCTTTTTTCTGCCTCTCGTTCGTTCTCTCTCGTGTTGAGCTTTTCTTGATTTTAGCATCAACATCCTTTCGTATGAGTTTCTTGTTCTTGTATTGTTTTTTCCTATTCACGAATCTTTATCTCTCGTATTTTCATTTCTCTTGGCAAGGCCACAGGGACGTGGTACTATTCGCAATCAAAAATGAACGTCACTATTAAGCGTTTTCTTACCAAGGCAACCTTTTTATATAACTAACTTCATTTGTTTAGCTTTCTTTTTTTCTGCTTCTTTTCTTCTTCGCGACGGGAAATATTAATGATTTGTTCTCCCGTACGTCAGATGATTAATGAAATATTTCATGAGATTAAATCAACAACAATACAATATATGTGTTTGAGAGGAACAAACCTGGGAAGAATTATTTTGCGAAAATTTTCTCTTAATACTCTGTTTGCTGCAAAGAAAGCAGCGAGCTGCTCGATGTCTAAGTGGGTCACAAATAGAACTTCAGCTTCTTTATTTAGTTGGAGACAGAGAATGTAAGAGGCGATAATAGAACACTCATTCTCGTCCGCCATTCATAAGACGTTTCGAGGAAGAAAGAATGAATTCAATCACTTCCACCAGCATCATTGCTACTCACATATTTCATTGAAGATTTGCCTATAGCTATGCATATGTAGAGAAGAGTTCATAAAGACATTTTGGATTGGTTTTCTAGTATCGATAGATAGATCATCTTCAAACTTTATATTTAAATCAGATATCATCATTCCGAAAAAGTCTTCATGAAGAAAATGATTAACTGATCACTCGTCGAAAACGTAGTTCACCAGCCATTTGAATTGCTGTACAACATGGGCAACATTGTGAAGCGAGAAAGTCAGAGAAATAAGTGCCCTAAAGAGAAATCTTTTGATTGACTATTTCGTGTCAATTTTCATCTTACATTGATTCGAAACGCCGTGCGCATTTTCGTTCGTAGAACAGCAAGATGTCCGGGCAGGAAGAATGTTATCCAACACGATTCATTCATACGCCAAGCCAGATGACAGACAAAACAAGGAAAACACCATATACCGTAGCACGATTCATCACAATTGTCTGTACAACTATAAAGGCCATGTGCCCAAGGATTTTCGAAATCCCATGGGTTATATTGATAACCATCAGTGGGTTGCTGATAGTTCTTCGAATAGCCTGCATTATAGTTGAGTTCTGATGAGTATCGGGAGTCGGCGCGTGAGGCCATGTTGAATAATAACAAACAGTAGGAGAGAAAAAAAACGAAACAAATGCGAATGTTTAACTTGAAATTGTTGCGCTTTTCGTCAACAGAAAAATCTTGTTCTCGTCGCTTTTCTTTTCTGTTTACACATGATGAAAGGTGCGTTTGTCATGATTCTAAATCTCTTTCAATGTTTGTTTTTTGGACAAGAAGCAATCATTTCTTTTCTTCTAATCATTACCATCGAAACGGATTGGAATCTAAAATAATCCGATCAAGAAAAGCCTTTGATCTTCGTCGAATGAAATCATCTGAACAAAAGACTAATCTCATGCATTTATTGATTGATATGATCCAGAATGTTGCTTCGTCAAATGAACGAACAAACACGAACTATTCTTAGATCTGTCGTATGATTGTTGTTCAAGAGAATAATTGAATTTGTCGACGAACTAAGGAAATGACAAATCTAGCCTTGAAGAGCATCTCAACAACAAGAAATGCACTCGTTTAGAAACTGATAAATAAGAGTAGATCATGACATATCTTCGGCCAGCAAAGTTTATTAGAAAAGAGAAGAAGAAGAAGAAGAAGAAAAAGAGGAAAACGCTGAAAAAATAATGTCTGTTTATACTTATTTACAACAATATTATGGGAATGTGAAGTGGAGAAGTAAAACAACGAAAAGACTATTTCTAACGTATAAACACAAGAAAATAGTATTGCTCTTGGAGTTACTGTTCACAATGAAGAATGAATGAATTAGAAGAGGATTCACAGATAAATACAGGAGAGAAAATTCACACGGGTTAAAAAGAAACACTAGTCTGTTGAGTTTCTCAAGCAATCGTACAACATGCTCGATGTTTGCCTCTTGAATGCTTGTTTTTTCTTTCTCTCGAGTTTGATGCATCTTCAACAAGCGTTTTTCGTTGTTGTTGATGTTTAATGAGCGAACATTTCAATGTTGACAGAACTGAATGTTGTGAAGATGATGATGAGTCATGGGCGTGACTGACATTCACACGTTCGATAGTTGGAGCAATTATATTCGATTTAGTTACGCCGCTACTGATCTTTTTGATAATAGGAGATTTCGAATTTCGATTCGATTTCGTTGATGCTATTGGCGATGATGGTGATGTGATATCTTCTTCAATGATAATAGGTGTTTGTTGATTTTCTTGATTTAACGAGATCGAATGCGAACGTTGATGCTCGATGATGGTTTTGATGGCATCATTCGAATCCTGATGATGATTTTGTTGTAGTAAACGTACAATCATTGGCGCATCAGTTTTCGTAAATACGGTTGACTCACGTGGCGTAGAATATCGTATCGATATTCGTGAAGCAATGGAAAATTGAGAATGATTAGTAAGTCGATGATCGACAGATAAGCTGCGCGATCGATCATTCGTGACAATAGAACTACTTGTCGCTAAAGTATCTGAATTATTGTCATCATTTGCATTAACTAATAACAAACGATTTGTCGATAACGTTGAACTTGCACGCGAGAAACTTTTGCGTTTCAGATAATCATTACTATTCGTCGAAATGATCTGTTGTTGAGTATTAGATGAAGGAATGTCGTTTAGGACGTGTTCGATATTGCTCATTGATCTTCCACGGGAATTTGTTGCTGATTCGATTTCTTGAAATGAACCCGGCGAACGTGTTTGTTTTCGATTTGGTGCGCGACTTATTTCGTAGATGCTACTGTTATCTTCGCTATCAGAACTGGAATGACTTCGACTAAAATTTCGTCGACGTGTTTCGATAACAGATCGTAGATCTTTCGAACGAAGAATTCCACTGGTTGTTGTCGGATTCTCTATACGAACTGTTGCGGTTGATATAGAAGATTGATTGTCTTCGTCTCCTTCAAAGAGATTTGGAATAAGTCGAAAGTAGGGCAAGCAAATCGTACTTACCACTTTCGACAATCTTTCGTAATTTCGGTATATTGGCCATTTGGTGCTTTGCCATGTCGGATTTACTGTAAATAAGAACTCTCGTTACATCCGTGATTTGACATTCTCGAACATCTTACTCGGTCGGTGATGGTTCAGGATTTTCATCTTCTTCTAATATCATTCTCATCGTCTGTGCTGGCGTTGTCGGTATGTTTGCACTTGCTGTACGTTGTTGCACTGTAGGTCGTTCTTCGTCATCTTCAATCAATGCTATACATACAAAACAACAAATTAATACATTGAATTAGTCAAAAAGATTTTTATCAATTAACTCATATTAATATGCATACTGACATAAAAGCAGTCAAAATTATGTCAGATCGATGAGGAAGCATCTTACAGCTAATTAGTAACGTCAATGCGTATCATTCTCGGGATGTATTGGAGAATAGCATTGAACCACTGAGAAGGAAATGAGCGTAGGCAAACGAACGGTTGAAGTTGATTACCTGAGAACGGCAGATCATTTGTTGAATCGATCGAATGTCTCGGAGTTATCACCAATGGTGCTGTATTTTCTTTTCCAGTGCTAAAAAAGCAAATGATAGAATTTAACTTTTGAAAATACAAAGAAATTCGGATTCCGTTAGGTAAAGCATTAATGTATCTGTTTATGATTCTAAGCGTCGTATCATACATATCGTCATCATTCTCATCAAGTGAATTTCGTCTTGTTCGCGGTAGGGAAACATCATCAAATTTAAAACTAAAACAATTTATCCATTTGTATCTTTGCTTTATCGAACTGTGTGTTTCAAGAGGTGAGATCATGTTAAACATACTTGGAAG